ATTTGGTGTTTATTATTCTCTGAATTTCTTTACACTTTTCTTATTTATGTTTTCTTCTGAAATAATGTCATTTTATATGTAGTATATTGTATTTTTCTGCATAGTGCTTTTTGCATTTATCCTTCTGCATATTTCAAATTTATATAAATATATATTTTATAAGCTATATGTGTTGATACATGTAGCTCTCCATTTTCCCTGTTGCGTAGTATTTCATTGTGTGTGTATGAGAGTGTGTGTGTGTGTGTGTGTGTGTGTATACCACAATTTTAAAATCAGTTCTTCTGTTGATGAACATTTAGGTTGTTTCTAGTTTCTTAGTCTTTCAGATAGTGAGGCATTGAACATTTTTTGCACATGTCTCTTTGTGCTCACGTTCAGAAGTGTTTCTAGGATATTTACCAGAGAATAGAATTACTAGTTCAAAGGTTGTGCCTTCAGCATCTTTGCTAGATATTGTCAAATTGTTCTGCAAAAGTACTGACGTAGGGGCCGGCCCCGTGGCCGAGTGGTTAAGTTCTCATGCTCTGCTTTGGTGGGCCAGGGTTTTGCTGGTTTGGATCCTGGGCGCAGACATGGCACTGTTCATCAAGCCATGCTGAGGCAGCGTCCCACATAGCACATCTGGAGGGACCTACCACTAGAATATACAACTATGTGCTGGGGGGCTTTGGAGAGAATTAAAAAAAAGAAGTACTGACGTACTCGGAGGGTTGGGTTTTGACAGCTGGAGATCTGAGTGAGGGGAATGATGTGCACCAAAGCCACGGAGTTATGAGACACAGGGAGCAGTAAGCAGTCAAAGCGATGGTTCTTAGTTGAGGCCTGACAGTAAATCTGAATTGCTCAGGGGAATTTTTTGCAATCTTTGCCCTCTTTTGCCCACTCTCTCCCCATTCTGGGATGTCTTTGCAAGGTTCTGAGATGTTCTCCCTGGTATTGTGGCATGCCTTGGTTGAGAACCAGTAGACTGGGAAGCTGAGAAGGAGCAGGGAGAGAGGAGGCGGGAGACCTGGGTTGGGAGGACCGCTGGGAGGGCTGCGGTGTCAGGCCAGGAGAATGCACGTCAATCCGAGGGCACCACAAGCGTCTGAGCAGAAGCTGGGTACCTACTGCTCTGCAGGTGTCCAGAGGCATCATTAGGGCCTCAGCACCCCCAGGTTAGGAGATTTGGGATAAAGCTTTGTGTATTTGATCATGTGTATCAAGCTCTGGCCTGTGACAGCACTTGTCTCAAGTTCCCCTTCTAACCTCGCTCACTGAAGAGTCGCTTTTATCATTCAGTGAGCTCTTGCTCCCCTGGGTCTCTGGTTGCACGGAAGATGCTGAAGAGTTGGCTTATGGTTGGCATTTTTATATTATAATTATAATTAGCAGCCCAGGAAAATTCGGGAGAGTTAAATATGATACTTCCAATGCATGTATAGAACATGACATATTGTATGAGTAAAATGTGTATATCCCTATGGAAAAATGTGTACATCCAAATAATTTAGCAAGTGAAAAAAGATATATATATATGTTGATTTTAAAAAGTGTGTGTATGTATGTGCATGTGTGTGTGTTAAATAAGGATTAGAAGAAGACACAAAACAATGCACAGAGTTGACCTTTTTTTTTTCTTTTGAGGCAGATTAGCCCTGAGCTAACTACTGCCAATCTTCCTCTTTTTGCTGAGGAAGACTGGCCCTGAGCTAACATCCATGCCCATCTTCCTCTGTTTTATACATGAGATGCTTAGCACAGTATGGCGTGCCAAGTGGTGCCATGTCTGCACCCGGGATCTGAACCGGCGAACCCGGGGCCGCGGAGAAACTGAACATGCAAATTTAACCACTGCGCCACTGGGCTGGCCCCAAGAGTTGGTCTTTTAAGTTTATAGCTTATTTTCCCTATAAAGGTACAGGTACTCCTTCCTTCCTAGCAAAAATTGTACTCAATGAATCAGTACAAAACTATAGAACTAAAGATGTTTGACCTAGAAGAGACCTTAGAGAGATCTCATCTAGTTTGGCTCTTTCCACGACGAGCAGGTGGGAGACAGGCACGTGAGGGGAGGACGCTCCTGGAGTAAGCAGCTAAGTAACCAGTCAGGAGCTGGGACTAGCGCTCGGTCCCATCACCATGAGCTTTCCGCCACGGCAGCTCTCAGCATTACCAACCGTTCAGACTACCTTATTCTGCCGGAAAACATTAGATAACTCTTGATACCTTTATTTTAATTTCATACTTAGTACTTAGTCAAAATACTGATTTTAGCATAAAAGTTGACCATATTTAATAAAACATTAAAAATTCTTAGTAGTTTCTCATAATGATCAAGGTGAGTGGTTGCTTTTTTGGGAAATCTTTTATAAAATAACACAATGTTTAGATAACTGTGAAAATAAAAACTTTCTAAATTCCCCGATATCTCCCTTCATATCTCCTAGAAGTGCACGCAGGTACTTGGTGGTGGTAAAGACTGTTTTATAACACATCCTATCTTCACAAATCAAGCCATCATCTCAGAGGTATTGGGAGTGTGGTGGAATGGGAGAATAGTCTAGAAAGGTCTCACAGTCTTAGCTAATTGTTGGAAGAAGAGGCCTATTTCTCTGAAGCTTGGCGCTAGAGTTGCCAGAGGGTCAGACTGAACTAGAAGGAGGTTTTAGGGTCTAAAGTTTTAGGGCCTACACTACAAACACCCATAGCAGAAATAGCAAAGGAAAAAAAATCACCTTGTAATTCCACCACTGTAACACATAATTGCTTTCATTTTTTCTGTTCACTTTTAGTCCTTGATTTTATGCCATCATTTTGTGTAACTATAAACATAACGTAGTTACAATGCTGCATTCTTTTTTTCACTCAACATTATAATGTGAATCCTTGTCGTAGGGCCAATTTGGTTGCAAGGAACAATCACTTAGTCAAGTTAATTTACCTCAGAAAAACGTTGTGTGTGTGTGTATGTGCCTAATCTTACAAGGACGGGAACCTAAGACAGCTAAGCTCCATAAGGATGGGAGCTAGGACACGGAAAGCCATTAGCTACGGAAGCTGCTCTGTCAGGGGCATAGGTGGGACCCCTGCTTATCTTTGCATTTCTATTCTGCACTCTCATAACTTCAGCTGTGCATGGCCAATAATGGCCACCCCAAACTATATGACCTGACGGTTCCTGAGTTTTCAATCATTCTCTCTACAGCTTTCTTAAAGTCAAATCCTGATTTGATTGGCCTAATATATCTTTTCCATTCAGTTAGGGCACAAAAATCAGAGGTTTTGATTCGGCCTGTGATTGAAGGCTGAATCCTAGTGGCTGTCAATAGCTCAGGTGGACACATCTTGGTCCACTTGGGTGTGGCCGGGGAGGTGGGGCACATGCTCCAGACTCTAGCTCTGCAGGCAGCAAGGCCATGTGCAGAGACCTCCGGCCCCACCCCCAAGCAGTGAGTGAGGGTGGGGAGACACCAGCTCCTATGTGGCCGTGTAGTATTCATAACTACGAATTTTAATGAATGCACAAGATTACATCAACTGGTTGTCCCATAATTTATGATCCCATTCCTCTGCTATATGTTTGATAGTTTAGCTCCTTTCAGTTTAGGGGCTGCTATAAGTAAAACCATGATGAACATTTTTGTGCATACATCTTCCTTTTCACCTGGATTATATGGAATAATTTTTTTTTTTTTTTTAAAGATTTTATTTTTTCCTTTTTCTCCCCAAAGCCCCCCGGTACATAGTTGTGTATTCTTCGTTGTGGGTTCCTCTAGTTGTGGCATGTGGGACGCTGCCTCAGCGTGGTCTGACGAGCAGTGCCATGTCCGCGCCCAGGATTCGAACCGACGAAACACTGGGCCGCCTGCAGTGGAGCGCGCGAACTTAACCACTCGGCCACGGGGCCAGCCCCTAATTTTTTTTTTTTTTTAAAGATTTTATTTTTTCCTTTTTCTCCCCAAAGCCCCCCGGTACATAGTATTCTTCATGTATTCTTCGTTGTGGGTTCTTCTAGTTGTGGCATGTGGGACGCTGCCTCAGCGTGGTCTGATGAGCAGTGCCATGTCCGCGCCCAGGATTCGAACTAACGAAACACTGGGCCGCCTGCAGCGGAGCGCGCGAACTTAACCACTCGGCCACGGGGCCAGCCCCTATATGGAATAATTTTAAAATTACACAGAGAGTACATTCTCTGAGCACCTTCAGGAAATAAAACATAACCTTGTATTTTTTGTTAAAAGTATCTGTATTGGCTAGAGATTTATATGTAGGTAGTTATGAGCCAAATAATAGGATGTGCTGTCTGGGATTTTCCTCAAAACACTCCAGGAAAAAAACTGGAGGATGGTGGGTGATAGCTGAAGCAAGGCTGGCGAAATGTTGATGACTGTTGGAGCCGATGATGGGGACATGGGGATTTATTATATACTCTTGTCTCCATTTTGCTGTTTACTTCCCACTTTCCTTTTCTTTCTCTCCCTTCTGGATTTTTTGCTGGTTTTGCCCATGTTTCCTCTAAATACTTGGTGCCTCCATGTCCATCCATCTATACACCCTTTCTGTAATCCATTCATATAAAAATTTGAGCCTATGTCTTGGGCAAGACACTGGAAAAGGTGCAAAACGTAGTCACTTTCATTGTTTTAGAAGTTACCAGACAGCTAAGAGAAACGCAATCACAACTTATTTTGTACCATGACGTAAGAGATAGGCAGCTTAACACTCTTGGGAATGACTGCAGACTAGAAGGGGAGCCACGTGCTCTCTGGCGGGGTGGGCAGTGTGATAGGGCAAAGGGGCAGCGGCCGCAGAGCTGGGAGAGAGGGTCTTCTCCTTCAATACGTACCTCCGCCTTACCGCCTTTTTACCCAGTGTTTTTCAGCCTTTAGGAATTTTGAACTGGAAGCTCCATTTCGTGGTCGTATTTATTTAGTAAAATGAAAATGGTACATATTAAGATCCTTGGATTTTTTTTTTGTTACCTTTAATATAAAGCATTAAAAAGCATCAAGTGCTCAAGAAAATTAATACTTTATATTCATGCTGAAAAATTAAAAACCAAATCAAATGGCTTAATTTTCTATTCATTTCCCCAAATGTTAGTAGATTATAAATGTCATGTGGGCTCAGAGAAATTGTAGGGTGATAATTCTGAGGTCTCTCTGATTTTAAAAGTCACAATGTAAAAAAAACCCTCAAGGTGGTTCCTGCCTCCCTGAAGTCGGCACACCCAGAGGCGAGAGTGTGCAACCTGGTGGGAGCCCGTGGCTTGCAGGGGCTGAGACATTCTCGGAGCTCCCACAGCCCCCTCCATAGGCCTCTGCTTTTGGCGCCTCAGCCAGGATCATAACTGCATGTTTACTTGTCTGTCTCCCTCACTAGTCTGGGAGTTCCTGGGGGAGAATAGGGTGGTCTGTGTTTTTCAATGGTTGGAATGCAGTTGGGGCTCAGGAAATATCAGTTAAGTGAAAAACCTCCCCACCCTCCAAAAAAAAGTCATTTTCTTAAAAAATATCCCCATAATCTTCTCCCTGATAGATTCTCTTCTTCCTTGCACACACCCTAAGATGGTCCCATTCTTCAGCCTGACTCTGAAGACCTTGTGATGAGAAAGTAAATACTTCAAGGAAACTGCCTGTCAGAGACTCAAAACCCCCAAATGGTCCCCCTAAAGGAGTGCCAACTGCAAGATGGGGGCACCTGGATTCAGAAGATGCCTGTGCCATCACCTTTCTTTCTCCAGAAACAAGGTAGTTATCGTTAAACTGTTCAGGGTTTAATTTTTTTTTTCCTACATAACTGCTTAAGGATTTCTAAACATAGCTTATAATTAAAAACCCATAATAACTAATCCAATTCGGAATCTACTGTGAGCACAGCAGGTCAGCAACAAGTTTATTATTAGGCTTGCAAGGTAACAGGGTGCATGACTAAGCATTTGGGCCAACTTTCCGTGAGTTCCTCTACACTGGCTTCCACTGTCACATTTCCCTCTGGTATTTGCAATGGTTTGCCGTGGTGGGCTGGTTAGTGGGTGGGTGCAGTGGGGTGGGGGAAAAGCCAAGCAAAAGAAGGAATATGGAGTGAATGCGGCTTCCCTTTAGAGCCTCGTTACAGGGACTCGGGGCAGTTCACCTGATCTGTGATAGTCATTTTCTCGATGTCAATGTCATTAGCGGTCAGGATATCTTTTAGATAGGTCACTGTTTCTGGAGGGAGATAAGGGTTTCTTCCCAAGATCCAAACATGATCCAGATGAAAAAGCCAGATGATTGTGGTACAGGAGTACACGAGGGCGTAGTTCTCGTAGTCGGTGGCCAGGACCCAGTACGGAGCAGAAGGCATCACTGAGGACCAGAGGAGGGCAGTATTAGGAGGGACCAATGCAAGAGAAACCTTCATCTCCAGGACCCTGGAAGCCAGGCTCTGGGGCCCATTCTTCTAGGTCAGTGATTCTTAATTCTGGCTTCATGTGGGAGAATCACATGGGAGCTTTGAAAAATACTAGGCCCACCTCCCTCTGTCCCTCCCTGGATTCTGATCTGGAGCTGGTCAGGACTTTTAAAAGTGGTTCTAAGGTGCAGCAAGAGTTCAGAGCCATTTTGGATCCTTTGTCCCTGGTAGCAGGTCAGTCTCCGGAAGCCCACAGTAACTCGGATGTTGGCTGGACTCCCTGGACTGACAGGCTACACTCAGCAGCAGTGCAAATGGAGGCACCACTTGGCTAAGCAGAATCAGGACTATAAGGTCAGGGCCCCAGGCTTTCTGAGTCTGTACCACTCAGCTTCCTCTTTTTTTTTTTTTTTTTGAGGAAGATTAGCCCTGAGCTAACTGCTGCCAATCCTCCTCTTTTTGCTGAAGAAGACTGGCCCTGAGCTAACATCCGTGCCCATCTTTTTCTACTTTATAGATGGGACACCTACCACAGCATGGCTTTTGCCAAGCAGTGCCATGTCTGCACCTGGGATCCGAACTGGTGAACCCCTGGCTGCCGAGAAGCGGAATGTGCGAACTTAACCGCTGCGCCACCAGACTGGCCCCTCTCAGCTTCCTCTTGAGCCTGCCTAAGGGAGGAGGCAGGGGCTAATGTTGGTTTGTTTTTCTTCCTGCATGACCTTCAAATATCTGTCCATTCTTAATAATATGGTAAATCAGGTGGTAACAGATTATAAGCTCTTTCTCACAAAGGGCCTACAGAGATTTATCAGTTGACATCTGTATAGAGTAGAAAGCCCAAGATTAAAGAGGTCCTTAGGAGGAGAGAGGGAGCATTTATCCTTTCCATCTGAATCCAGAAAACTCCTCTGTGAACTTGACCTCCACAACCAAGGTCCAAGGCCAGGAAAACTCATAGCCCAGCTTGTTAAAGTTAAAGATGGACCCACATGGGAGAAAGCTATGTGCTGACCCCATAAGAAACAAAGACCTGCACACATAAGCAAGTCAGGGGTGTTTTGCTTTCCTGGATTTTAAGCATCCCACCTTCTCCACTGAAAACGAATCCCTCTGTTTGCCAAACTGTACTAGACCTCAGCACCCGTGAGCGGCCATGAGAAGCTGCTGGACAAAGCAGGCAGTCTGTGAGTGCTTAGAGCTCGGCTGAGGGTCAAAGACCCAGCTGGTTATCAGGACACCACGAGAAGACTAGTCCAGATGGCCACCCACCAAGGTCCCTCCTCCTTCTGACTTCCTACCTGTTTATAAATATGAAAACAGAAGGACACTTGGAGGATGTCTGGACAGAAGCCTGGACAAGGCTGGAGGACCTAGACTGAAGGCTGTTTCTGACTGACTTTTCAACTGTTGGTGCCACCTGCCCGGCTCACTCATGAGAGTACATATTCATCATATATCTGCTATCTTTGAATTTCAACTGCTTTGTGTATTTCCAGATGTTCTGAGAGCTCTTCAGACCTGAGTGATTTGGGGAAAATACATCTTCCACCTCTTCCAGAAGTAGCAACGTCACGCCCCACTTGCACACACCCAGGTATGCACCTTCTATCTTCCTCCCACATGGCCTAGCTCTCAAGCACAAATTTACCTAGATATTTCCTCTTAGTATAGAAAACTGCCATGTCTCTTTGTTAGAAAACTTTGACAGTCTCCTATCGCTGATGGAAGTCACTTCAAACTCTCTACAAAAGTTAGTGAGGCCCTCCCAGTCTTGTCTCCTGCTCCATGGACCCTCCCATGCTCTAGGCTTCTTTCTCTAGGCCTTTTCTCATGCTATTCCCTTCATGTGGAACATCCTTTTCCATATTCTCCCACCCACCCTGCAAGACCCAATGCAAACATCTGATCTCTTCAACCGGAATAAATCTCTTCCCCTTCTGCTTCCCCAGCCAACAGCTCCTGCCCCTCCTATAGCTCCTGTTGCAGGCTTCCCTATGAAGGTTGTGCACAGAATGGCCTTCACTCCCATCCCCATCGCTCAATTAAGAGTCTGGAGACCTAGGTTTTAGTCCCAACTCTGCCTCTAATTAGCAGTGACCTTGCCTACATCGCCCAGCTTTTCTGTACTCTGATTTTCTTATTTGTAGAAATTTCTAATTTGCAGAGAAGCTGACATGTACCTTAACGGTTCCTTAACGGTTTCCAGAGCACGTGCTGTGTGTTATCTAGTTTATCTTCCTGCCTCTGGGCATAGCTGTGAGGTTAGTTGCCCAGAGTCGCATGCGTGGGAAGAACGGTTTTCTCCTTCTCCCAGCGTTCTTATCTTGGTCTATAAGATAAGAGCTTCCTCTCTGCCCCACTCTAGGGGCTTGATCTGTGGAGGCCTGGGGGTGGGGGTGGGGGCAGGTAGTGATTCCTTTTGCGGCCGGTGACTTCAGTATCCGCCCCACAGGTGGGGAGAGGGGCTCCCAACTACTTTTGGCATCAGAAACCCTCACTGTTCTGAGCTGAATACTCCAGTGTATCTATATCAGCAAAAAAACTAATATTCAGTGCTTTCTCTGTTGCCTGTGTCCATTCCTCAGTTAGCCCAGAACTCAGAGGGCAAATGCCTGTGATTAAATATTTTTCAAGGACCCTAACAACGTGGCTGGAAAGCGGCAAGGCCAGGACTCAAACTTACCCCCTCTCTTGTCGTCTTTTGCCTCCAAACTTTTGCCCATGTTAGTTGTTCTGCTAATAACTACTAATTTTTCAGACCTCAGTTTCCTTGGGGAAATAAGCCTAGATTGGGTGTCCTTCTGCTCGTGCACTACACGCTCCAATCTGTGCTTCCTCTATAGAAACAACTACTGTAGTTTTATGGTCAATTGCCTGGGTACTTGTCAGTATCCACACTGGGATGTGAGCTCCGTGGGGACGAGGGCCAGCGCCGTCTTGCTCACAGTGCATCTCCAGCGTCCAGCCCAGTGCCTGGCATGTGGCAGGTGCTCCACACATCATTATGTATTGATCGTTATACGATGACACTCAGTTGTGACAGGAGTGCTCCAACCCAGGGTTCTAGCCTTCAGTATGTACATCTCCTGTCCCTGAAACCTCCTGAGAGAAGCGGATACTTACACCAGAAAAACTTAACCCCCAGCTTGGCGGGCTCTGTGAGGTTGCTCTGGGTGGCTTCACCTTCAATTTGATTCACAGTCCCATCAGATCTGCAGTGAGTAAAAAAAAAATCTGAACTCACTGAAAGTCAAAAATCAATGGCAGGCAAGATTTATGACACTAAGTACCATGGCGGCCAACCCTGTGATTTCTGGTTAGAGAGGCTCTTGAAGGCAGGCTGGACCCTGGTTCCATTCTCTCCCCTTTCCTTTGTGACTGTCTCTGAGACCAAGGGAGGAAGAGAGCCTTGGGGTGATAAGAAGGAACAATTGCAATGCTCCAGGACTGGATAATATGTTAGGCCCTTGCACTTCAACACTGTATTTTGGACTGTATGCAATGGCCTGTAAGGCTGTTTCCTGCTCCCAGGCTCCAAATCAAGAGAGAATCAAAGAGGAGGGAAAAACAAACAAAACAACCCAATACTCTAAGAAGAATCATTTCTTTAAAAATGAGAAGGGGCCAAAGGAAAAATAAGGAGTGAATTGATTACTGAAAATAATGCAAAACCTAGAGTCTAGAGACCTGCAAGCTTTTCCCCTCTTTGGTCCTCGGTGATACCATGTGACACCATCTGTCCCATAAAGGGTTCCTGTGTCTGAGCTCGGACACCCCTTCTAGTTCAGCAAACTTCTGAACTCTTCCACGGGAGATTTCAGGGTAGGCCAGGTAAAAGCAGGCAGTGAGGGAACATTTACCACATTTCAGTGATTCTCAGGGGCAGCCAGCTATCAGAGACACTAAATATGAAGAAATGTACATCTTACAAGTAATGCCACCTTACACCTATAATTGGTGGTGTTGTTTTTTTCTTAGTGGTATATGAAATGGTGATATGTCTGAAAAGTGGTGGTTTTAAATTGGATGAAATGCTTTCACTCTTTGAAGGGAGCTGGCCCTGTTTCTGGATAACTCCCAGTGACCCCATGGACCTGGAGGAGACAGGAAAGGCCTGGGATGGAGGCGGTGAAGGAGGGTGCTCGGCGTCAGGGTGCTCTTCGGAGGAGGCCGACAGAGGAGCTGCCTGTTCATCAGTCCTCAAGGGGGCAGACAAACAAAATTAGAGCAATAATGTGTGTCAAAAAGTCAGTAGGCTGTGATTAGTGGTGATGGATGTCCTAGAAACCAGACAATAAGCAATAGGTATGAGAGGGTGCGGAATGTTCTCTGATGCTCCTGGATATTGCATTTTCTGTTTATCATCATGTTGGGCTGGAGACTGTACTCCACTCTCTCACCTGGAACTCAGCCAGCCAGGGAAGATGGTCCATTTCTATCTGCATACAGTTGCTTGGCAACAAACCAGTCTCTTCCCAATAGACTTTTCCCCTTTTCACCATCACTTTTATTTTGCACCAGAAGAGTTTTCGAAACACCAGTCTGATCATTAACTCGCAGTTCGTTCATGGGAAAAACACATTTGTATTTTCAAGGGTAGCAGCAGACTAACAATAATCGGCAATATTTATGAAATGATTACTACATACCAAACACTGTTCTAAGTGGTTTACATGGGTTACCTCCTTGAATGCTCAAACACCCTAGGGGGGGAGGTTCTATTATTATTGTCATTTTATAGAGGAGGAAATTGAGGCCTAGAAAATTATCATAACTAAACTAAGATCACATTGTGAGCAAGTGGTACGACCAGGATTTAAAACCGGGCAGTCTAGTCCCAAAGCCTGAGCCCTTCTGCTCCCAGCCTGTCCAGCTGATGTGGTCCTCAGATTCTCTGCACTGGCGGGAGGATTCTGCTCAGACTCCCTGCATGCCCTCGGCTCACCCAGCAGTACTCCTGGGAGGAGAAACTACCATTTTCCTGAACTAACCTTTCTCCACGTGTCCTTGTGCCTTAAACGAGTGTGACCCTAGAGGCAGACTGACCTACAGCTCAGGATGCGGTAAAGAGGACTCCTGGCCAACTCTGAAGGAGCGTGGAGGAATCTCATGGGTTTTGGGGTCTGCGCCTTTGTCTGACTCTTGGTCTTAGAATGAGACAAAATATTTGAAATGAAATCATTGCAACTTTGGAGCCTACAAAATTCCTGTGAGATCTTCTGGGTGTCTGCATCTCGATTCCTTCCTGGGCTCTGAAATGGGCTGGATTTTTCTTTAGAGGCCCTCAAGATTATTATTTTGTTTCTTTGGTTTGTGCAGGGTCAAGTTTATGCACTGTGTTTTGGCTCACAAGCCACAAGAAGCTTAGCGGATAATGAGATGGTCACAAAAACCTGTCTTAGCTGAGTGATTTCCAGGCTGGGTTGTAGTTATTTTCTTGAAGTGGAACACAGTTCTCAAATCCTGTAGGGAACAGGAAGGACGGCCCTTCATTCCCAGCCTTTCTTTCAGCTGTCTTCTGTTCTCATCCCCATTTCACTTCTCCTTGGGTTCGAATCTTAGCTTTGTCACTTATAAGCTGTGTGACTCTTGGGCAAATTACTTTACCTCTCTGTATCCCACTTCCTCATCCATAAAAATGTGATTAATAATAGTACCTACCTCAGGGTTGCTATGGGGATTAAATGAATATACTCATTTACGTACACTTACATACATATATATATGTATACATGTACACACATGTATATATACATACAGATACACAATAGTGCCTTGCACATAGGAAGTGCTTAATAAATATTAGTTGCTATTGTTTATTGTTACTCTTATCTTTGTTGATGGAAGGTTGGTAGGAGTTCTTCCCGGGGGTCTTTTAAAATTTGTGTTTGCTTTCCAAAGTGTGAATTTTTGCATCAAAAATCAATGTTAGAAGCCCTCAGTAATACAAAAGTACACTTCTGTAGGCTATCCTGTTCACATAACCTAGAATGTGACTATGTATGTGTTTGATTCTTGCTTAATAAGAAAAGGCGTGTTCTAATAGTTAAAGCTGTCTGGAGATGGGATAAACTGTCATGGAAGGTGATGAGCTCCTACTTCCTGGAAGTATTCAGACAGTGGATGCCCCCTGTCAGGAGATGATGTAGAATGGGCTTCTCTCTTGGTTGGAGGTCAGACAAGATGGTACCAGGGTATCTATTTTGCAATGAGAGCAGGAACCCTGCAGTTTGGGTCACTGTTGAGTCCCTAGTGCCTCTCACAGGGTCTGGTACAAAATAAGTGCTCACAACAGGTGCTCAGAAATGAATGAGTGACATCTAGTCTCCACGGTGCTGCCTGACAAAAGCTTTCATCTCAGGACCTGTTGTGAGCAGGCAGTCCAGACCCAGCAATGACTGTGTCCTCCGTGAACTGGATTGCAAGGACACCCAGGCACCCCAGGACAGCTCTCTAAAGGGCTGGCTCCAGGATGTGCACTGCCTTTGAAACCACAGCCACTCACCTTAACTCCTTGTTTATCACTTTGACGTTTCCGTTTTCCTTTAGTGAGTAGTTGGCTTGGATACAGCTTCCCTTCTCAAAGCTCACTGGGATCTTCTCAATTTCATACCATCTTCCAAGATACTGTAGAGACAACCACAAGCAGAGCAAGTCCTGTGGCCCTCTAGGGACCTGCAAACTCTTCCCCATTGTTGTCTTTCAGAACAGAGCCCTTTCCTGGGGAAACGAGGCAAAATGGGCTGCATTGTTTCAAGCAGCAACTGAACAAGATATTGATTCAAATGGGCATAAGCGAATCGGATGTGTGGGCACTGGTTGAATGCCACATTCTATTCCGAAAGTGCTCTTTCTTTAGATATGCTCTCAGTGTCCCCATCAGCCAAAATCTGGGTGAAATTCTAAACGCTGTAAAAGGAAGGGATGGGTCTAGATGATGTAAGATGCCTTCCATCTCAAACATTTTACGATCCTACAAGTAATCTCTGAGTTGTGTGCAAAGTCAGATAAGTGCACTGTGGGGAGCTGGGGCTCCAGTGTTGGTTAACTTCTCTTCACATGATCCCACACAGGGAGTTGGTCACAAAGGCTTTTGGCAAGTGATCAGGGTTTAGAAGACCTGTGTCGTTCTTCCACTGGGCTCGTGCTCAGTTCATAAAGGATGTGTGCCACTATGTGGGTGAGGGCGCGGGGAGGCAGCACTGTCCCCCTTCCATATGTTTGCCTTGCAAAGAGAACGTACAGACTTACAACCTTCATGGAGGGCAATTTGGCAACATCTAGCAAAACCGAAAATACATATACTCTTGGCTAGCAATTTCACTTCTGGGAATGTACCTTCCTGATAATAAAAAAATGATGTATGTATAAGGTTGTTCATTGCAGTGCTATTTGTAATAATAAAAGACAGGAAACAGCCTAAGTGAGCATTAGTAGGAGACTGAGTAAATAAATGATGGCACATCCATATAATGGAATCTTACACAGTCTCTTTTAAAAGAGTGATGTGCAATTATCTGTAAGATACATTTACTGGAAAAAGAGCCAGGTAAAAAATATAGTGTATATAGTGTGTATATTCAGCTACTTTTCATGTAAAAATGAGGGGAAAGGTTACTATATTAATTTTCTGTTGCTGCTATAACAAATTACTGCAAGCTTAAAACAACAAAAATTTGTGGTCTCTGTACAGCAGAAGTCTGACCTGGGTCTCACTGGACTAAAATCAAGGTGCTGGCAAGGCTGTGCTGCTTTCCAGAGGCTCTAGAGGAGAGTCTGTCTTCCTGCCTTTTCCAGGTTCTAGAGACCATCTGCATTCCTTGGTTTGAGAACCATTTCCCCCACCTTTAAAACCAGCAAAAGCAGCTCAAATCCTTCCCTCATTCCATCTCTGGCTCTTGCTCCATCATCATCCCTCTCTGACCACAGCTGGAAAAGGTCCTCTGCTTTTAAGGATTTATACTACTCTTGCATCTCAAAATCCGTAACTGGAATCACATCTACAAAATTCCTTTTTCCAAGGAAAGGAACATATTCAGAGATTCTGGGCATTAGGGTGTGGACATCATCCTGCCCACCACAGTTATGTATGTATCTGTTTGTATATGTACACAGTAGCTCCCCAAAGATACACGATAAACTGTTTTTACTGGTTGCTAATGGGGAGGGACACTAAGGCTGGAGTAACAGGAGGGGGAGGGAAATTTTTCATTGTATATTCTTTTGCATCGTTAGAATTTTGAACCATGTGAATATATTTACCTAGTCAAAATATTAATTCAAATTATTTTAGAAATTTAAAAATGTATTACTCAACAGAATGAAGTGAAAGAGATGTACTCACCTTCAAAAAGTCAGAATTTGAAATGAGAACATACTGCAAATAGGTGGCAATATTGCCTCGGTCACATGGTTCTCTGTTCAAATATATGTCTACATTTGTGACATAAATTTTCCACTCATTTATTAAAACACACCTTTCAATTAAAACCAAGTAACGGGGCTGGCTCCATGGCCGAGTGGTTAAGTTTGCGAGCTCTGCTTCAGTGGCCCAGGGTTTTGCTGGTTCGGATCCTGGGCACGGACATGGCACCACTCGTCAGGCCACGCCGAGGTGGCATCCCACATGCCACAACTAGAAGGACACACAGCTAAAATATACAACTAGGCACTGGAGGGATTTGGGGAGAAAAAACAAGATTGGCAACAGTTGTTAGCTCAGGTGCCAATCTTTAGGAAAAAATAAAAATAAAAAATAAAACCAATGAACTTATTAATTTAAAGCACCAGGAGTAAGGTTAGAGGTCAACTGGTTTCATAGGCATCCTCAGAAAAAGCTTCATTATTTATATAGGGCATTTAAAATAGTTCTATTTTTGTTAAGGTGACCCTAGTGTTCCGCAATTAAAACTGAGGAAGCGTGATTTTCCAGAAAAGAGGAAACTCAGAGGTGGAAGATTGATTTTCATGTCATGCTCCCTCATGATCTCCTATTGTTTTCGTGATGGCCTTTTCATCTTTTTGAGCGTCAGTGTCTCTACCTAAATAAGCAGAATGCAATGTTTAAAAAGAATCCTAGAAAAGAAGAGGTAAAACTATCTCTATTTGCAGATGACATGATTTTGTATGTAGAAAATCCTAAGGAATACACACACACACACACACACACACTATTAGAACAAATGAATGAATTCAACAAGGCTAATGGATACAAGATTGATATGCAGAAGTCAAATGTATTTCTATACTTACAATGAACAACCTGCAAATGAAATTAAGGAAATTCCATTTACAATAGCATCAAAAGAATAAAATACTTAGGAATCAATTTAACCAAAGAAATGCAAAACTCGTATTCTGAAAACTATAAAACATTGTTGAAAGAAATTAAAGAAGACCTATGTAAACGAAAAAGACACCCTATGTTCATGCATTGGAAGACTTAAAATTGTTAAGATGGCAATACTCCCCAAATTAATCTATAGATTCAGTGCAATCTCTGTCAAAACTCCAAATGGCTTCCTTGCAGAAATTGACAAACGGATCCTAAAATTCATATGGAAATGCAAAGGACCCAGAATAGCTAGAAAACCAAAGTTGGAGGACTCATGTGTTCTGATTTCAAAACTTACTACAAAGATATAGTAATCAAGACTGTATAGTATGGGCATAAGGATAGACATATAAATCAATAGAATAGAATTGAGAGTCCAAAAATAAACTCTCACATAAACGGTCAATTGATTTTTGACGAGGATGTCAAGACTATTCAATGGAGAAAGAATAGTCTTCTCAACAAATAGTTCTGGGACAACTGGATATTTTCATGCAAAAGAATGAAGTCATACCTCCGTATCACACCATACACAAAATTTAACTTAAAGTAGATGAAGGACTTAAATGTAAGAACTAAAGTGATAAAAGTCTTAGAAGAAAATATAGAAACAAATTTTCATAACCTTGGATCAGGCAAAGCTTTTTTATATATGACACCAAAAACATAAGCAAAAAAAGAAAAAAATAAGTAAATTGGACTTCATTAATATTAAAAACTTTTGTGCTTCAAAGGACACATCAATAAAGTGAAAGGACAATCCACAGAATGGAAAAAAATACTGGCAAACCAGATATCTGATAAGGGACTTGTATCTAAAATATGCAAAAAACTCATATCTCAGTAGTTAAAAGATAAATAACCCAGTTAAAAAATGGGCAAAGGGCTTGGATAGACATTTCCGCAAAGAAGATATACAAATGGCTAATAAGGTCACGTAAAGATGCTCACTGTAATTAGCCATTCGGGAATGCAAATCAAAATCACAATGAGATACCACTTCGTATCCACTAAAAATGGCTAGAAATAAAAGGTGACAATAACAAGTGTGAGCATAGATATGGAGAAATTGGAATTATACACTGCTAGTGGGAATGTAAAATGGTGCAGCTGTCTTGGAAAACAGTCTTGCAGTTTCTCAAAAGGTGAAATATGGAGAAGCCATATGATCCGGCAATTCTATTAGGTATGCACCCAGGAGAACTGAAAATGTATGTTCACAAAAAATTGCACAAAAACATTCAAACAAACAAAAACCTGGAACAAGAATGCTCATAGCAGCATTATTCCTAATAGTCAAAGGTGTAAACAACCCAAATGATGAACAAATAAAATAAAATGTGACATAATCCATACAGTGGACCATTATTTGGGGATGAAAAGGAATGCAGTACTGATACATACTACAACATGGATGAACTTTGAAAACATTATGCTGAGTAGAAGAACTCAATCACAAAAGACCACATGTTTGTATGATTCCATTTCTATGGAATGTCCAGAGTAGGCAAATTCATAGAGACAGAAAGCAGATTATTGGTTGCCTGGGGCAGGGAGGGTTGGGGAGAGATGTGGAGTGACTGTTAATGGGCATGGGGTTTCTTTTTGGGATGATGAAACTGTTCTAAAATTGATTGTGATGATTGTTTCATAACTCTGTGAAGACACTAAGACCCCATGAAAGTGAAAACCACTTTCAACAGGTGAATTATATAGTATATGACTTATATCTCAATAAAACTGTTATTTTAAACAGCCTGCTTTACTCCTCAAAGGACTTTTGTAAATTTAGACCAATTATAATTTCCAAAGTGTCTGGGGATTTTTACCCCAAAACTGAAATGTGACTTAAATTCCCTGGATTTTTTCTGTAAAGCCTTGTGTGGGCTACCAGGGTTGCCTGAATAAAGTGATCAGCCCTTCATTACGGGAGTAAATCAGTGTAGACTTCAGTGTACTGTATCTCCCCTTCCTACCTCCCCTGTGGGAGTTCTCTGTTGATGTTGCTCCTTCTACACCCTCTTCAGGCTTTGAACTCTCTTCCCTCATACCTCTACCTAACCATCCCCTCAGAGGTCCCAACACTCATTCACACTGAGGTGTGAGTGACTGATAGCAACTTCAATGTTACTCATAACAAGTTTGGCGCTTCTTCAATGAGATCCAAACTTCTACTAAGGAGAACATATCTTAACAGGAAGATTCTATGTGTGAATTAGCAGCAATTGGAGCCTCTAAGTTATGTCATCGAATAGCTGCCTCTTTCTGCTGTTCCTTCCCTACTAGCCATACATAAATACAGTAAAGTTGGGCTTGATCCCAGGAAGAAAAGCCATATATAGGGGGAGGCTGGTTATATTGCTATATTTTTAGTGCAGGTAACAAGAAAGCCCCTTGGGGAGTTCTGTCCTTTCCGAGGTCCTGTTTGAGTGATCCTTGGGTGTCCTTCACTACTGGGAAGCCTACTTTTGAATCCCACTCTGCATTTACTGTGTGTGTGACCTGGGTAGGCTATAAGCTCTCTGACATTCAGTGTCTCCGTCTGTAGAATGGGGATAACAGGACTGCAGGAGCTGCTGTTGATACCTGGTCCCGGGCCCGCTCAGCCCCGCTGTGAGTTCACCTCAGCCGTGGCAGACACTTCCCACACACGCTGCCAGCTTCCCACCTTGAGCCCTTGTGTCTCCTCTGCCAGGAGGCTTTGCCGGGGCCACGGGAGCTCCCACAGCCCACTTGCCTCCATCTGTGGAACAATCTGAGGCACATTCTAGACGTTTCCTCGGGGGATCCCCAGCAGGATTGAACCCCGCTGTTCACAGAGTAACCTGCTCATGAACAAATCCTTTATTGCTTTGATTGCTTTTCTGCCCCCTCTGCCCCAGTTTCCCCACATGCCCACTCGTGCTTCCTGGGATCATCTTCCAAAAACTCTTTGCTCCCCAGGTCTTGTCTCAGAGTCTGCTGTGGGGGAACCCCAAGTAAGATAACCGCCTACCCCAAAGCTTGCTGTGGTACTCACAGCAGAATAATAAAACTAAACCGGGTAGAACGCTCATTCAAACAGGAGACAGAAAAACAGGGGGAGTTCAGCCTTTTACCACACCTTAGTCACGTCGAAATTCTCCTGCACGGGAGGAGTCGGGCATCTCCCGAGGTGGAAGGCTTGCCCCTCGGCTGTTCCAAAGAGGCCAGCCAGTGCGGGGAGCAGCAGCAGTGCCATCACCATCCTGGCGTTGGGTGGCTGTCGGTGGAACCTGCAGTGGGGGAAACAAGGCAGCTGGAGTGGTTCTGAGCCTTCCAAGGACGCGCAGGGACCAGAGACAGATTTCTGGGCTGGCCGGTCCCTCGTGGGCAGCCTGTCTGAGTTCCTGGCCCTAGAGGGCCACCCGAATTGTCAGCAACACGGTGAGGCCTTCCTCCCTGTGAGCTCTCTCAGAACTGTTTGTACCCCCGCGGAAGCACACTCTGCCTGGTATTAGAGTGTCTGGCCGCACGCCCAGGGTGGGATAGGTTGTGGAGAGACCAAAGAAAAGACCCAGAGATGGTGTACGAGACATAAGGGTTGATGGGGTCTTACTTATGGGGAGTGTCCAGTGGCGGCCAGCTGGATGGAGTTACTGCTACCACAGACAGAGAGGGGGTCGCTTATACAGGCCAAAGACTATGTGCTTGTCAAAAGGGACTGTCCTTGATACAACCAGCATTCCCAGGGACAGTAGCTCACGTGGAAGGGCTCTGTGTTCCTTTAAGACGTGGTGTTCTCTGAGTGAGATAAATGAAGGTTTGGGTTGGCCAGGCCCTGGATCATTACGAATCCCAGATGGTTGGCATCCTGCCCAGAAGGGGGCCAGAAAGACATAGGGTTGTTATAGGGCCCTAGGCTCGTGCCCCTACATAGAGTTCGTTAGATTTATTTTGCAACCCTCCCTCACCTAATTACGTAATTTTCAAGGATGGGCACCATGTCTGTTCTCCTGGGACTCACCCACAGAAACCTCACAGCGTCAGGGGCACTAGGTTCTTGTTGAAGGAACAGAAACAATGTGGAGGGGGGATGGGCAAAGGGGAAGACTGAAACCACGCAGGGAACCATGAGAGAGGAAAAAAACGAAAACAACCCATACACAACATTTAGTGTCCTATGAGATTCATCAGAGGAATGCCTCCCTGGCCCCCACCCACCCCTGTCCCATCTTGCTGGGCTGTCTGCCAGCCCAGGAGCAGGCCTGGAGGCCTTAACAGGGAGCAGTGTGCTGGGGACCCCAGGGTCACCTTGCCCGGTTTGAATTCTGGCTCTGCACATAGTAAGGGTCCAACTGATGCTTCAGTGTCCTTGTCTATGAAGTGGGAATAATAATCATACCAACCTTATGAAGTTTCACAAGAATTAAATGAGACAATAGAATTTAGAGTAGCATCTTTCTTTTTTTGAACTTTCTCTTGGAGGTGTTTTTCATAGATGATGTGTATTTAACCAGAGAAGGACTGGCCGCTGACATGTAACTGTGCAACAAGCGTTTCAGCCCAGCGGCCTTGGCAGTGGAAACTGCTTTGAGGAGAGGCAGCGAGCAGGGATGGGAGGCTGCAGCGCTGTTGGCAGAGCACAGCAGCCCGGGCAGCTCCCTGCTTCTTTCACTGACTTGCTTTCAGTCTCCCTTGTGACTCCTTGCCTGTAGTTGCACAAGAGCTATTTCCAGCTCTTGGCCTTTCTCCCTGGGATGAGGAGCACTGAATCAACGCAAGCAAAATGTTCTCAGATCTGAGCATTTAAAAGGATGTGTCATAACAGGAATAATTATAACCACTTTATTATGAGTCTCTAAACCTCCAAATAACCTGTAATAATCAATAGCTTTTCTTCTGGAGATTTCATTGCCTGGTTTTCAAAAGAACAGTTACATAATGAGTACAAGCTGCCAGCTGGGGTGGGGAGTAGGCAGTGGGGGGAGGGTGGGAGGGTGTGGGGGGTAAGGATCGTTGCAGAGCCCCTTTGAGCAGGTCTTCAGTGGGACGTCTTCCTTAGTTTTTGAGGCTCCATTTCCCTTCAGCCCCTCCCACCATGTAAACAACACCTGTCTTTTAACATTTTAGGGGATGGTAGATTTGTAGAAACCCAGCCTAAACCCACAAAAATTTGCCTCCATTTCTAAGAGTTCCTTAGAAACACTGGAGCTCTACTCTTGGCTCCCCGGAGGCTCCAAGCCCAGTGCCTTGCCCAGAAGATCTAACCTCAAAGGATGGCCACACATTATGCACATTCTACAGGGTCCCCCAATCTGGACAGGCTCTTAGAGGTCATTTATCCAACCTGTTCCCCCCAGGTATTTAGATGGGGAAGCCAGGGCCCAGAGGGGGCAGAGAGCTGGGACTCGGCCCTCCTCCAGCTCTCCATTCTGCAGCGCCCCAGAGCCAAGCTTCCCTCTGCGCACCACATTTGGTGGCTTTCAAAAAACACCTACCTCTGTGACCTGATGAGTCTCACTCCACCACGTGACAGTTACACCAAAAGTTAGTTCCACATCTTATCCTGACAAATATCTTATTACAGAATGTTCTATTGTCAGCTGAAACATGTTCTTTAGTGCTGTAGGAGGATTTCAGAGCAAAGCTAATTCCCCTTGATTGCATTTCTTCCAAAGATGCCTCTCTATTGTACTAGTTTTATTCTGATAGTTAAAACTTTTTGTGAGAGAAAGGTTTGATAGCACCCATAACTTTTTTCAATGCCCCTTCCATTTTAATTTACCCAATACTTATTGAGCACCTTCTGAGGGTAAATTACATTATGTACGTATACCTATGAACATGGGTACGTATCACGTATGTTTTTGCATCTTCTTCTAACACTAATGGGAAGATTGTCCTGAGGAGGAGATTTGAAATACTAAAAAAAAACATGATTTAAATATTAACTGAATATTAAGTAATTTGGAAAGAATTCTACTAAGGTTATGGTGCATCCACCCTGGGCCAGCACTGACTCTGCAAATTGCTGCTCACTCTCATTGAGCTTCCCCATGGAGAAGCCTGGCCTCCATTTCACATGTACTATGCACTGAATCTCCACAATACTCTATATGGAAGGGACCTAGGCTGACATTCTCTTGGTACTCAATGAGGTTAATTTGCCCAGGTTACTTCCCGGTAAGCCGTGAAGCCAGAACTTATTCCCAGGTCTCCTAAGAGCCCAAGCTCTTAACCTCTTAATGCCTGGGTGTTAGTGTAGACCTCGCCCCTGCTCTCAAGGAGCTGCAGAATATTAAAGACTAGATTTTTAGATTTCACGTGATAAAAGAAAGTACATTTCCACTGTACATTTGGTCTTAAAAACCCATTTAGCTGTTGAATCTAACAAGAAAACATTTCTTCTGAAGAAAATATTTTTGTGCCATGTTGTTAAATGCATTTTCTGTTCACACAATTAATTCCAGTTCACTTTTCAGTTAATTTTATTATAGTGCACAGTTGGATACCAACTCCCCGAGAATTCATCTGGTACAGTATAGGTGTATGGAGAATTTTCTCATTGTCTCATATAGTGTAGAGGGAGGGCGCACAGTGCAAGCAGAAGACTTTGAGGTGTGTCAGCATTGGTTGGCACCCAACGCCAACTCCGGCATTTGTTGGCAGTCTTATCTTAGGCCTGTTGCTTAGGATAGCTGAACCTCAGTTTCCTCACCTGAGAAGTGGCACTGATAATATCTGTCTTGTAACGTTGTTTCAGGAGAAATGAGACAAAGTCTGCAGAGCTACTGGCACAAGCACTCAACTGGGTTAGTTATTATTTTTAGCTGAAAAAGGACAATTGAAAGTCAAGACTGTCTCTATTTTAAGCATTATTTATCACAAATGAAAATGAAAACTACAGTACCTACCGTTTCTTATCAAGATGAAGGCAGTTTCCACATGCAAAAATCATCCAATTCGAGATGCCTTGTCTTGGTGACTGGCTTCTCCCAAGCTATTTTATAAGCTTCAGTGGGTCACTGAAGTTTAATTTTAATGCATGCCACACCCCCTACAGTTCAGGGAGGCTGGCCTAAAAGCTTAGCTCTGTATGAAACACAAAGATGGGATGTTATGTCCATCCCCCTCCCCCAATTTCCTTCACAGCTGCTCCCTGAAGAAGAAACAAAGAGATGTTGTTTGTGTGTGTGTGTGTGTGTGTGTGTGTGTGAGAAAGACAAAGTTTATTTCATTCAAAACATCTTTTTTGCTACGCGGATTTTCTAATTTAATTTTCTCAGTCAGAATGCCCTTTTAAGTTCCAGTAAGATGAGTTGCAACGTGTTTTCAAACATCTGGTATTTATTTTTCATTTTTGTGTAAATGAGAAGTCAGCAATCCCGCTGCCCGAAATGGAGCATGAATGCCGCCCTGTGTGGTCCCTGGGATGGGGTGCGGCTCAGGCAGCAGAGCGAAGGTTAGGAACTAGAGTTGGCTTTCTTTGTGATCCTGGGCGAGCCACCGACTTCTCTGAGCCTCAGTCTCCCCATTGTGAAGTAGAGACTGTCGTTTCTGTTTCCACCAGAACTGGGTGTACAGGGGAGATGCCAGTTCTGTAATAGTTGCGGCTAAGAGCTAAGAATGCTGAAGGCGTCTTCTGCAGCTCCTCTCTCCGTATCTTTTATGATCCTCCCAGCTCCATATTCTAGGCAGCCTGTTGCTGCTTGGGGTGGGGGTGTGCAGATTTAAGCCCAGGGGCACTTTTGCTTGGGTCTCATCTCTCTCTGTGAAATGAACAACTTTGACTCTTACTAATTGGATTCTCTGTCTTTGTGACAGGCGGGAGGTATTATTAGTGGCATATAGGTAAGAGGGTACCTTTTAGTAGATTCAGATTCCTAAATAAAATCCATTCTCAACTTTGTAAGCAATAGAAATTTACAGCACTAGGTCTTATAAACATTAAAACAACAACAATAGAGTGAATCCTTCACATATCAAATTTCAAGAGCTCTTTCTTTGGGATGTTCCTTACCTTTTCAGGAAAATAAGGAATTCCTCATCCTGTTTAGGGCACTGACTCTTGCTGTGCCTTGTAATGCCTTCCCTTCAGACCTCTGCACGCCCCCTGCCTCACTCCATACCCCTCCTCAAACGTCACCTCCTTTATAACAGGCCTTCCTGACCTTTCAAAAAAAAAAAAATAATAACTTTGTTGCTATCACTTTACCTGCTTCATTATATCCTAATTATACTTTACCTGAAATTACACCCTTCATTTATGTATTTTCTTGCTTATTGTATTTTCTCCACTAAGACATAAGCTCTGCGAATGCAGAGAATTTGTCTCATTGACTTACTGCTGTACCCCCAGTGGCCAGAGCACGTTGTAAGTGCTCAATAAATACTTGTAAGTTGAATGGAAGGGACCTCTCTATTCAAAGAATTTACTGAGTATTCTAACATATGCAAAAGGACCTGGAGGTGACATTCAAGAGACTTCTATTTGAACTGTTTTCCTGAGACAGGACTAGCCTGTAAGTTTCTGTGTCTTCTTTACCTGCATCACATTTCTCACCAAGAATTGCCTGTCAATGAAGAAATACACGATTAGCCTCTTGTCAACCTCATAAAAAGAATATTTCCCTCTACTCTAAAGAGTTGCATAGTTTTCCACAAAGCACTGTTACTAAAGTTTCCAAATGCATGAGCTGGAGAAGGATGTATTATGTGTTTTACTCCTTAGCATTGAATCAAGCACTGTGGAGCTGAAGGTACGAGTGTAGGAGTCACAGCATGTGAAAAATCACATTATCTTTCTGGGTCTTGGTTTATATTTTTCTGAAAATGTTGGCAAATGATATAATTCAGGGAAATCCTTTCTTCAAGTGTTTCTGGACTATAGAACCAAGCACAAGTTCTTAAGCATCATAAAACAAGTCAGACCTATGTTCTAAATAAGTCTTTATTTTTTTAAATTCCAAAATAGTATACATTTGTTGTAAACAATTAAAACAGTACCAAAATGTAGGACTCAGAAAGTGTAAGTGCCTCATAACCTCATATCTCAGAGAGAACCGTTGTTAGGTTTGCCTTCATTCTTCTAGGTTATTCTTACAGAGATCCTAACATAATAACAATAATAGCAACAGTTTCCAGTGTGCTGAAACTTGCTTGTTTTCATGAGATAATGTATCTCTCTATATCAACACATGTAGATCTACTTCATTCTCTCACCTGTCGCAAAACTTTGCTCTTACCCGACAGCACATTTCTTCAAGAAGACGGCCTGTGGTTTTACAGGAAAGTAATTCTTTGGTTGGGTGATCTTTCATCCTATAGGTGATTGCCTCGAGGGTTTCACTATAAGAAACTCAGCAAAGGCAAAATTGTTTTGGTGGACTTTTTGTAGCAAGAAATAGAGAACTATCCCATCTTAAAAAAAAAAAAAAAAAAGGCTTCCCTGATGAAAATTTCTCTATTTATTAATAAGTGCTTCTTTCAACTACCAGAATCATCCTGTAGGGCTTTCGAAAGTGATTTTTCTTTTGTCAGTTCAAATAAAGGGGAAACACAACTATACTTTTGCTGTGAAAACCCAGAGGAAGAGCTTTCCATAACACATATTTGCTCTTTAAGACTCAGCTCAAAAGTTCCCCTCTCTGGGATGTCTTCCTGAATTCTTGGCCACTCCACGCAGCATTCCTCGCTCTCTGCTTTGTGTTTCCTCAGCACATGTTACTTTGTTCTTGGGCCCATCATGCTATGTTACGCATCACCACAAGGCTGCCATCTCCTTCTGGAGACTGTCAGATCCTTCAGAGTAGGTCTGTCTTTTTACCCCTGGTAAATCGCATAATGCCAGGCATATAATAAGTGTTTACTAAATGTTATTGGATGATTGAATGAATAATAGAACATTTAATTCTCATTATTTGTGGGAATTATTATGTACTTCATGATTTATTCAGATGCCCTTTTTTCTCGCTTTCCTGCTTTCTTGTGGCCATTTCTTTTATCACTAGGAGCCGGAACCAGTCGAGAGTTGAATGGTGCCAAGCATCTGGTGAACAGCAAGAAAGCAATCAAAGTGGTGAAAACTGCAACTTGACGTGGCGTGGGGGAAAGAACGCTGAACTGGAAGGTGGGGGCCTGGGTTCCAGTCCTGGCTCTATTACTAATCCATTCACCCAATCATTCACTCTTTCAACAACATATATCAAGCATGCCATGTTCAGGCACTGTTCTAAGTCCGGCAGATGTAGTGGTGAAGAAGAAAGACAATGTCCTAGCCCTCGTGGGGCTTACCTTCCAGAGGAGAGTCATACACATGGACAGAAAAATATATACGAGAGAATAGGATGACGTGACAGGGAGTGACTGGGTGGCTACTTGAGGCTGGTGGTCAGGAAGGGCCTCTCTGAGCACCAACATCTCAGCAGAGATATGAATGATAAAAAGGAATCAGTCATTCAAGAATCATGGGGAAGAGCGTGTCAGGAAGAACAGCCCGTGCAAATGTCCTAAGGTGGGAGTGGACTTGGTGTTTTTAAGAGACAGAAAGAGCATTGTGGCAGAAGCGGAGAGAGTGAGGAGGAAAGTGATTCAAAATGAGTTTGGAGAGGTAGGCAGAAGCCATATTATATCTTGCTTTCAGGAATCTGGATTTTATTTCCAGTTCAAAGGGAAGCTATTGGAGGGTTTTAAGCACGAGTGTGACAAGACCATTCAGGCTTGCCTGTCAAGAATGGATTGTAGAATGGTTACAGAGGGATCAGCTGAGGTGCTATGACCCTCATTCAAGAGTGATTGCAATAAAAATGGAGAGAAGAAGATGAATTTGGAACATGCTTTGGAGATAAAGTGGACAAGACTTGCTGACAGATTGAATATGGAAGATGAGGAAAGAGGGGAATGAGGACCGACTCCTAGACTTACACGTTGAACAACTGGGTGGATGCTCATGCGAATCACTAAAACTAGGAAGACTGAGGCAGGAGCAAGTTTGGGGGGAAAACCCGAGTTCTTCACGAATAAATCAGATCTGAGTTGCCTATTAGACATCCAAGTGGAAATGTTAAGAAGACAGATGGATAGTCTTGGGGAACAGTCAGGGCTGTAGGTAGAGATTTGGGAACTAAAGCCATGGGACTGGATAGTGTTACCAAGGGAGGGCATACAGTAATGGAAGAAAAGGATGCTCAGGATAGATCCCTGGTACCTTCTAACCTGTAGAGATTGAGTAGAGAAGGAGCCAATAATAGAGAAAGAAGGAAAAGTGGGCTATCACAGAGCGAAGGAAAGAAAACGTTTCAAGAAGGAGGAAATAATCAACTTTTGCTGAAAGGTCAAAAAAGATAACAAAGAAGTGGCTAGTGGATTTAGCGACATGGAGGTCACTGGTGACCTTGACAACAGCAGTCTCAGTGGATAGTGGGGATAGAAGCCCAATTTGAGTGCATTGAGGAGGGGACACAGAGACAGCAACTCTCTTTTAAAGTTGAAGGAAAGTAGAGAAATTAGTGCTGAAAGGAGACGTAGGGGTTAAGGGAGACGTAAGAGCATGCACATGGGGATGATCCAGTAGAAGAGAAATATTGCCTATGTAGGAGAGAGAGGTGGAGAGCCGCCTTGAGCAGCAGAGAGGGGGCGGGATCCAGAGGTGGAGAGGCTGGCTTTTGAGAGGAGCAAGGGTTCTGAGTCCATAGAAACAAGAGGGAAGGCAGAGGGTAGGCAACCAAATGCAGGGAGGTATGTAGATTTAGTGGCGAGAAGATGCAGGATTTTCTCTTTGTGTGGCTGTGGTCAAGTCGCTTATCTTGCTGAGATATGTTGGATAAAGTAAACAGGTCTGCTCTGATCCTGGTGAACGGGCTTCTTTGAACACAGTCACTCTGCTAATTACACCTGCCTTAACATCTGCTTTATTCAATAAGGGACATAGTGGGGAAGGTGCAGCATTCAACCTAGAACTGATTCTAATAATAGCTCCTCACTATTGAACTCTACTCATCAGGTCCTCCATGGATGCTTTCCATACATTAGTTCTAATTGCCACCACATCCTGCAGGGCAGGCCTTTGT